GTTGGGACTGCATAAAGGAACCTGAGCTGAACATAGGAACAATCCTCACCAAAGGTCATCAAGCCTTTTAAGCAGAAGAATGAAGAATCTCAAAGCTGTGCACTGCATGGTGGGCATCATGTAAACTTCTGTGCCTAAATTGTTCTTTAGTCTACTACCTTAAAATCAGGTTTTTTTGTTTTTTGTTGCTAGTATCTCAGTAAATTCAAAGGGAAACTGAAAACCAGGAGCAGAGCCCAATACTCCCCAAGGTACAGTCCAAGGTAAATATTAAAACAGCAACAAGAGCAATAGCAACAACACACAAACGTAAAAATATGCCAAGACTTGTCAAGATTGTGATAGGCAGTTTCTTTCTCAAAAGTAACTTGCTCATACATGTGCACCTGTGATTTATGACTAACTCATGCTGTGCAGGTAGTAGATTCCCTTAGACTGTTTTGCAAACATATACAGATTTTTTTTTTTAAGGTAGCAAAGGAATCAGAAATAATTATTCACTTTCTGCCACATACAGCACCTCAGGCTCTCCCTAATACCTGCTTGTAGGACAGAAATCCAAAATAACATTAACCTGAGAAACGCAGAATTTGAAAAGAAAATTCTTCACACACACCCACCCCCCGCAACCCACCATGAAAACCATGCATCATCAGGGTATTAGCTATCACCTCCGGTGCTCCCCTCACTGCTCCTAGGACAGGACTCCTGTACTTAGTGCCTCGATAAATGGCTTCTTTCCACAATTCTCCATGTGTAGGGATCATCACGACTGACTGTAAGCACACCAAACACACGCCCGGCTTCCAGACTGAAGCAGCAGAGCACACGAACCCGATGCCACCCGAGAAGTCAGGGAGCTCTTCCACCCTAATGACAAGAGCAGCATGGACCCCACCAGGGGAGGCAAGAAGGGGGCAGGAGCCAATCCAGAGACCTAAGAGCTCTTTCTCCAAGTGTGTGCCACTTGGGGAATCCGAATGCTCACAATAATTCCACATCAGTGTTTCACACGAGGTAAGTAAATGCATCCCTGGAAACACCTTCAAACTTACTGGAGACAGGTGACTTTTAAAGCACAGCCACCGGGCCAACCAGCACCAGCACCACTGGCGACTTGCTGCAAATGCCACGGCCAGCTTCCAGCCCAGAACCAGGAATGCGGGGCGGGCTGGCAGCTGCACTTCAACAAAGCCTCCAGCTAAGTCTGACGCTGGCCGGCTGGAGTGTGAATGCTGCCTTTTCTTTCTTCTTCCCTCCCTCCTTCCTTTCTGTTTTACAGTCATAATTCTAAAGTCTTGAAACAACAGGTCTGTACACACGTACTACTCTGTGTTGAAATCACCAGATTTCCATTCTTCCCCCTGTACTTCTCACAGACATCAAAAAAGTATTCATGAAAACAATTATTTCAAAAAGCAAACATTTCTTAAAAGGTAATATTGATTTTCCCTCCTATACATAGTTCTAAGGCAGGCAATCACATGCTAGTATGCAAAAAAAAAAAAAAAAAACAGAAGAGACCTCGTGTGTGAGGTAGAAATAGCTAAAGACTCCCCAGGAACATAATGAAAATTTCATAAATTGTTCAAGGAACTCACAGAATTATATAAAACTTACGCTTTATGCTAAATATCTGTATCAAAATAAAATCTCTCTGCTGGAACAAATTGCAAATAAAGTCTGATCTAACATCATGATTACTGGAACTATAAGCATATGACCTTCTCTGGGTTTTAACACTCCAGTTGGAGAAACTTTAGACTGTCACTGTAGAACTGGGTGTGGGATTTAACCACAGTTCCCATGTCTAAGCCTCAGTTCTTCTAGTAGATTCCTTTCTTCTGTGGAAATTGAGAAACTGATGACTGTTAAGAGTTCACTCCAAAGTAGGTGTTTCCAATAGGCGTAATTTTTAACATTACATTAAAATTGCCATTTAATTTATTTAGCCTGATATTCTAGTTCAAAGTAATACCATCGTGCCATTTTCTGAATATTTTGTAGGAATGTCCAATATTACTAAGACTTACTCCTTGCAACAAGTCTTGACATTCCTAACTAAGCAGGGAGGAAAATGGTTAACTGTGACTGCAGCAGATTTAGAGTAGTCTCAGCAAATGAATGTCCAGCCTCCAGTAGATGGCAAAGACGAGAAGCCCCTCGCAGGGAGCACTCTGAAGACTAGTGCCACTTGCTCTTCCAAGACGGTATCTTTGTAATATGTGACCGACACGACTAAGTGGTATTCTGAATAAGAAATCAATATTATCCACTTTCCTACTTTTCAGGCAGCTTGGACACAGATCACATGAACAAAGAGGGGAGAGACAAACTAGATGTCCTAAGATATTTACCTCGAGATTCAGAAAAATGTACAGGCTGGTGGTAGAAATGAGGATTTTCCTATGTTAAGAAAGACTGTTAGCAAGACATAGTATCTATTAAGTCAAAAAAGAGAAATTAGTACCTTTGAAGAGCTGCAAAGAGGGAAAAAGTATGGCTAGCCTTTTAAAGCAGCAGTATGCATTTTTCAACATACTAATTTAACTTCAGGTTTTTATAGACATTTTCTGAGATTCCCTTTTTAAAAACAGCTTCACTATGGGACACTGCTACCCTGGGTGTCTCTTTAAATGACTACCTCAAGAAATCTACTTTTCCTAACAACAATAGCTGAAATACTAAACTTTATATGGACTCATACTCACACCCTGATTCTTTGCCAAGGTGGCTAGAGATACATTCTTTTATATTTATAGCTTTGCTCTTAGGTAAAAATAATTAAAACCAAAATCATCTACACTAGACCAACATAGTACTACTATACTGTATATCAATGATCTCAAAGTTATAAAATTCAGTTAGCTTCCTCAGTAACTTCATTTCCTGTATTTTCATAAATAGGTCTTGGAGATTGCTATGTTCAATAAGTGATGCTCATGCAGTGGGGATTCTGCTTATTATCTTTATTCTTCAATTCTTTGAACTAAAAAGACTAGGTGTCTACACCAAACCTGAACTTATTTTAAAATTTCTGATGAAAACAAAAACAACACACACTCCAAGCAGTCTGGTATACGACATGACCTACATGGAAAGCAGAGCTGTGTGCAGGAAGAAAAACTAAGCTCATATTAGTTTAAGTGATCAATAATTAACTACTAATTAATCACACAAAAAAATTCTCCGCTCAAACAATTTGGCAAAGCATATGCCAAAGCAGCAACCAAAAATCCTTTTAAAAAATACACTGGGAAATATCCATATTACAGTGAATGAAGTTCTTCATATCTAAACAAAAAATCATTTTTAGAACAGGAAACTGAATAGCAGAAATAATCTACAAAGCCGCTATTACCCAAAAGAATTTAAGACTAAAAGAGAAAGAAACTCTTTAGGTTGCACTGAAATTAAAAAGTGAAATAAATGAAAAAATTTTGGCAAGAGCAAGGAACCTTCAGAGTGATACAAAGAACAAAGAAGTAGAAAGAAATAATGAACAATGAACTTCACTTAGAAGAAATCTGTTAAAGAAAAAAGGAAGCTGATCATAATTGGTATTATCCCAGAGCTGTCAAGTTTCTTTAAAAAAATTCATATATTAATCTATGTATCTGTTCCATCTGAGCTCTAGGGATGAACCTACTATATGAAATAAGAAAATAAGTTATTTTATTAGTCTGACTTGTGGGTACTTGCTAATAACTACAATAATCAAAGCACATCAACTGTATTCAGAAGCCATGCCTCATTTCTATGGAAAGTTGCAATGATTTTCACAGTAATACTCGCTCAAATCATTACAAATTATGCATAAATACGATTCTCTAAAGCAGGGTTGGAAAATGGCATTAAGTAATGTTGACGAAGAGAAAACCTGTTAGGGGTTAAAAATAAGCATTTCATTTAGAATACAAAAAGATTACCAGGTAGAAACAACGCTCAAATCCTTGACTAGAAACAAGAAAGAAATGAACATGCAGAGACTGACAGCAAAACAGTGGACTAATAAGCAGCTATCATTGTTCATTTTTTAGAAATAACTGCTTAGAAAGAAACAGCCATTGCGAATGGGCAGCTTCCTTATCCAAGGCTCCATCATCAATATATTTCTAGAAGGTGGCAGGGCGTGTACATGACCTCCTTAACTAAAAAGAAACATAAATAACTTAAAACTGGTATTTTTTTTTTTTTTAAAGGTTCAAGTAAGGGAAAAAGAAAATCAAGCAACAACCTCATGAGGAGAGGTGGACTGAAAAATCTGACAGTAATTCTGCCTTCATATCATCAAAATGCTATTGAACATTTATCTAGCTTGTATTCTAGTCCTTTATACTGGCATGCATGGGGTGGGGAGGGGCACTGCTGATGAAAAAATTATTTTTCATAGATATTCTCACACCGTGGAGACCTAATTTTCATTTGGGCTATGTTTATCAGAGTGGGAAATACACAGCTATACAGAAAAAAAAAAAAAATTCATCTTCTCACTAAAGTATGCTAAGCAAAACTTGACAGAGCTAAATGTGGTGATCTGATATCCTACAGAGAAAGCAAGGAGCGCTAGCTGCTGGCTCAGTTTTCCAACTGTGATTTATAGTAAGCATTAAGGCCCACAGCCCACAGGTCTCCATCCACCACCCAACAGACCTGCAGCCTGCAACTGGAAGCTGCATACAAAGGAAACGCGCCCTGAGCAGAAAAGTCAACTGAGTAAGAGGCACGTTTCATTTGTCCTATAGCCTGCTAACCTCTAACCAAAGCTATGCTTTAATCCCAAAGGCTCTGAGGATTGCAGCTGGCCACCATAAGCCAACCTTCAGTCATATGAGAGAGGTAAGTAATTTCTCTTTACCCTTGCCACTTTCAACCCCATTTTAAACTTGTATTGTGAATACAGGACTGCCTATCAAAAGCAGTTTTTCAAAACACTACTTTTTAATGGATAATCAGGAAAAATGGGCTCATTTGAAATGTTAGCAGGCCTCAGCTTTTTTTTTTAAGTTATGCTGTAGTTTCAAGATTTTTCTGAAATATAAAAGCTGTACTGCGTGATCAGGAGACTAATGAGGGCATGCATCACTTCAGTGTGTCGTAAGACCACAAGCCATTAAGAGGGAAACACTCTTCTTTGGATCTTACCAAAGCTCAGTCAAGACAACTATCAGACTATAGAATATTTAAGATAGTGATTTAAATTTTATATATTATACAAGTTCCATAGGGGTATTTTAGAAGAGCTGAAAGACATGAGAAACAAGGGTAGTTTTGTGTCCCAAAATTTGATGAATTTTGATTAATCTTTGACAAACAATTTTTAAATGATGTTCCTCAAATTAAAAAAAACCCTAGCAAAATATTTGAATTGCCATGTATATAATGTCACATTTTAATGTAAACATCAAATTAGGTACCAAAATGTTTAGTGGAGAAAAAAAAAATCAAATCTTAAAGCAGCACAATTCTTCTTACCACTGGAGGGGGAGAAGCTAGGTTACAAACACTTACACATGCATAGTGAGAAAAAAGGATTTTACTAAATTCACTCATTTTTAAAATAGTTATCAAGTCTACTAAGCACCAACAATCCTAAAAATTTTTCAGCTTCATGATTTGTTTTAAAAAGCCACACTATCAAATTAACATTAAAAACAAGCTTGAAGTGTAGCTTGTCCAAAAAAACACAAAAAACAAAAAACTAAGTATGCCAAAGTTCTTTTCAACTTCAAAAAACAGCGGCATACACAATACCCCTGTAAAGAACGCCTCTGACTCTGCCCTCCGGAGGGTGGCGAGCACAACAGCACGCGACGCGCAGTCTAAGACATCAGCGTTTTAGAATGCAGCATCCTTCACAAAAAAAGCTGATAAAACTTAAAGTATTTAGAAGATGCTGCCCCTTTATTTTAAAAAAATTTTAAATGAATTTGAGCAAAAATAACATACATTTGTACATCAACTGGCCATTTCTGGTACAGAAACCCAGCATATCATAATATTATTGAATAAATGTAAATGCTACTTACAATTTTTTTTCTTTTTAAATACATTTTAGACAAATTTTTTTTCTTTTTTTAATAGTTGCACAATTAACCTCTTAGCTGCTAGCTTGATGCAAACATATATAACAATACACCAATTTAAAAATATTTTTATTCTACATAAAAGCTGTCAAAATTGACTCACATCAAAAATGCAAAATAATGGAATATACTTTTAAAAAATTAGTTGCAAGTCTAGCAGCAAAGCAATTAAGTGAGAACATGTTTAATATTAAAACAAAGAACTGTGCATCTATAGATGAAGTTGAACTACCTTAATTCTATCAATATAAACAGAAATTAAAACATTTTCCCCTCAAGGACAAAAAAGTGATTATTTAAAATAGGAATAAAAGCCATTGCTGCCTGAGGAGCTGCCGAGGCTGAGTTCCTGGAACAGGGCCAGGGGGTCGCTATTCTTCTTGGCCTGCTCTGGTGGGGGCCTGGGCTTGGGAGGCGCCCGCAGTGCGCTGGCGTAGGACATGGCTGGCTTGCTCCCCGCAGGGCTCTGCTGGCTGCTGCTGCTGGCCGACTCAGCGATCTGCTTATTGGGCATGAGTGGTGGGAACTGGCCGAGATGTTGCAGCACACTGTAGTTGAAGGAACTGGACACTTCCTGGCTTTCAGACTTCACGTGCTCCTCAGGAGGCTTAACAGTCTTGGGTGGAGCTAGAAGCCAAGAACACCACGGGTTAAAGGTCAGCCAGCAGCACCTCGGATCGCCACAGCGCGGAAGGTCACAGCTGGGGCCCACCTACAGCTGAGCTGCGCTGTCTAGGAACGTGAGGACAGTGCAGCTAGGAGGGCAGACAACTGTCGCCAGAGTGCAGAAACCACAGCACCACTGGAGAAGCTCCTCTGTTCCATCGCCATACAAAAGAGCCACGTAAACTGGAATGGCTGGCCCAAAAAAACTGAATGGTTACATGTGAAGGCTTGCTAAAAAAATAAAGAACTGTATGTATAACTGTACGTGCTGGTATGTATCATACTAACTGCTCCATTTGTACCCTTAAATTACAATGAGCCATATATAATAACTTTTGGTCAACATGACTATTTATCTAAGAAATAGTGGTACTGAACTCCATCTGTTTAAAAACCTACTTTTTTAAAAAATTTAGTACAGGGTCTATAAAAAAGCTACCCTTTGGCCTCAGAGATCGCTCAGCAGTCTAAGTGCATGCCTAGGCAAGCTCAAGGACCCAGGTTCAATCCTCAGCAACACACGCTCTGAGCAGGCCACCGAGACCAGGCATGGGTGGTGGTACATGCCTATAATCCCAGTGCTGGGGAGGCTGGGCAGGAGAGATAGCGCAATGGGGTAAGCGCTTGCCTGGCAAACGCAAGGTCCTGAGTTTGATCCCTGGTACCACCAAAAAAAAGGGTCAGACCAGTCCTGGGGAGGTTGAGACAGCGAGTCCAAACTGTGTGGTGAAACACCAAATACATAAAAAAAAAAAATAAATAAAAAGCTACCCTTAGCTGAGTGTGGTGGAACATGCCTAGAATCCCAACACCTGGGGGGCTGAGGCAAGAGGATTACAAGTTCAAAGCCAGCATGGACTACACAGTGAGACCTTGTCACTACGTAGTGACAATCTGGACTGCATGTGAGATCTTGTCTCAAAGAAGCGCAGTACTTATAACTCCAGCAGCTGGGAGACTAAGGCAGGAGTAATACAAGTTTGAGCCCCCACCCCTCGAGGAAACAGCAGAAACCTGTCTTTAAAAAATAAAAAAAGGGGCTGGAGAGATGGCTCAGTGGTCTAAAGCACCTACTTGGAACAAGCTTAGCAAAGCACAGGGACCGCGGTTCAATCCTCCAGCACCACATGCCAGCCAGCCCGCCCCCTGGTGGGCTGAGCTGGCCACACACACACACACACACACACACACAATAAATAAATGTAATAAATAAAATAAATAAATATTTTAAAAAAAATAAAATAAAAAAGGACTAGGGACATAGCTCAGTATGAAGGTTCTGAGTTTTATCTCCAGTAATGGGGTGGAGATATCACAAAAAATTACTGTGTAATATATTTTCACCAAATGTAGAATGGAGGGGAGACAAAAACAGCTGCAGCCTATATCATACTCCTTATCTTCCAGAGTTTCAAGGTCTGTAAAATCTGACTATAGGCTGGTTATGTAGCTCAGCTGCAGAGTACCTGCGTAGAATATATAAGGACATAGGTTCAATTCTTAGCACTGTAAAAATAAAAATAAAATAAAATTTGATTCTATCCTACCTAACTAGTGTTACTGTCCATGAGGCTATAGCTTTAAAAAAAATTCAAGTAACATGCAATAGATTGTAAACATTTTTCTGAGAAATATGTATGAGAAAGAGAGGGAGAGACAGGCAGACAGTCAGATGAGGAGAGAGAGGAGCGAGAGGGAAGGCCATGTGGCTGTGGGCTGATAAGCCGCTGAAGCACACAAGCTGCAATCAGACAGCAGGTGATAAGAGTAGACAGAGACTACCAGAGCGAGCTTAGGACAGGGACAACTTACGTGAGCTCTTATAATGGGCCAGGTATTTTGTGCTATACACTTTACACAGATTATGCACACTTCTTAGTAACTATCCAGTTGCTCTCAGAAGGAACTGGTCATCTTGCCAATAAAAGCCTTTTCTGGCTGGGAGATAGCTCAGCAGTCTAAGTGCCCACCTGGCAAAAATAAGGACCTGAGTTTGATTCCCTGGTACCACATGCTGTGCCAGCCCTGAAACTGGGTGTGGTGGCACATACCTGTAATCTCAGCACTGGGGAGGCTGAGACAGAAGGAGCACTATGAGTCTGAACTGCATAGTGAGCCCCTGTATCCAATAAATAAATGAAAAATAAATAAAGCAAGGAAGGCTTTGTAGTTCAGTTAGGTTGAGAAGGTTTCTGTTTACTGCCATCAGAAGTAGCTTAAGACAATCACCAAAGAGAAGGAAATCAGTTGTTTTCCTCTTGGTCTTCAGGTATTTAGCAAGGTTGTTCTCTACTGACTCAAAGTAAGTTGGAGAGTGGAGAGGGGGGACACCAGAGCCAACCTGCTAAGGCTTCTTTTTTAAGCCAAAACTATGATTCTTTTCTTCCTAAAATGTACTGGTAATACTTGATGGAAGCTACACCCAGTATGACAGGGTTTTTTTGTTTGTTTGTTTTTGTTTTTGTCATTTATGTATTTGTACAGGGTCTTACCACGCAGCTCAGATTCACAGTGATCCTCCTATTTTCAGCCTCCCCAGCGCTGGGATTACAGGCGTGCGCCACCATGTCCGCACTAGTTTGCTGGCTCAGCACACCTGGGAACCATTGTCCCTGCACTTGCCAAAGCAGGCACTTAGTCTGCTGAACTATCTTGCCAGCCATAACAAAATTTTAAAACTATAACATCAAAAACAAAGTTGCCTGTTTACACACCTATAATATTCAAATAACAGAACTTAACAAAAAAAGGGTATATAGATGAATGTCCATTTTGTATCTGTGTATTCAGGGTGGTTAGAATAGATATATAGTTACATTCTGTTAATGAATAGAGTGGTTTGTTCTAATGGTATTTGTAAATAGGGTGTCGAATCCGCATTTTGTACAGCAATTAACCACTAAGAAGAATGTATGCAGTGTGTTAATTGTTGAAACTGTCCTACCAATTTGATTTGAAACTGTCTCATTGCTATTTATCAATAAAATTATGGCAAAAAAAAAAGTTGCCCATTGTGAGAGAAAACTAGTTTATAAGTTAAGATGATAATATTTCACTTTTTTCTTATAGTAATTCAATTTTTGAATATGCTAATTTTACATTCATAAAACTTTGAAACTACTGTAAACTATTTTTCTATTTTCCTCTAAAGATTACTAAATTATTTTAAAATTTAAAGACAACATAATACAGCTTTCTTCAAGTTCAAGAAGTCTCAAAATTTCTTCTTTCTTTTTTTTTTTTTAGCAGAACCAGGGATTGAACTCAGGCCCTTGCGCTTGCCAGGCAAGCACTTATTTTACTGAGCCATCTCCTCAAAATTTCTGAAAGAACCTCCCATGCGGTGATTATTTTCCACCTGATATATCATTACTACATTACTCAGAAAAATAATAGGGATGAAGTTCTGGTTCAGAATGTTTGTGATTTAGAAATTTTAAAGTATTAGTTTTAACTAGAAAATGCTACAGTTTATCACCTGGCAATGAAGAAAATAATCATTCTGTGTTTGCAAAAGACACCATAAATGGCATGAGCTATGAGTTTCAGCATTTGTTCTAGAACTTTTTACCTTATCAGCTTGGGTCAAATTTTTTTATTGATTTTGGCCAAACATTATCCTCAAAGTGGGGTGGGAAAAAAAGAAATGATATCTTTAAATTATAAAACAAACAAAAAAAATGTAATAAGTTATCATTGCCAATGTGTAATTTAGATGTTTCTCAGGAAATTCAGGTATTTATGTTAGCTTTCAAAAAAACAAAGCAACCCTAAGCAAAATATAAGTTACATATAGCAGGTACTGATAAATGTTTAAAGATTGACAGGGCAGTATCTCTTGCCAGGAAACGAAAAGAAACACATTTTCATGTGTTTTGTCCTATTCTGTCCATTGTTCTGAAAATACGCTTGTATGGCAGATACTCAAAAATGGGTCAGTTACAAAACAATGAGTTTACATTCTGCGATGGACAAAATTAATTTTAAGTACCAAGGCTGACGGCACCAGGGCAGAAATTTACTGCACAAAGACCTCAGACTTGGTCACAAAGTGGGGTAATTAAGTCCCTTTATCATTAGTACACTAAAAAGAGGGGACAGAGAAAGATGAAAGTGTAGATGCATCCTGGGCCAGCAGGTCAAGTTCCCAGGGTGCTGTCTGCCCTGTCTTCTTCCTGTGCCTCGCTTCATCTTTGGCGAGGTTCTGGTATCATCAGAGTATCAGAAATGAACACAGGATTTGTTAATCCTCAGATGTGAGGCTTTCCTGGTCTCCCGTGTGGCCACTCCATCATACAGCGTATCAGCAGCTCTTTTCTAATAAAGCCTTATAAACTGATACTGACCTAAACTGCAATTCCAATGAACCCACTTCCCTGCAAATGCCCAGGAAACAAAACTTTCCCCAAGCAAATGTGATTCTACCTATTTAAAAATACAATTTAGGGCCAGAGAGATAGCTTAGCAGTATAAGCGTCTGCCCAAGCAAGCACAAGGACCCAAGTTCAATCCCTGGTACCAAAAAAATAAAAACAGATTTTAAGTTCTCTTATTTCTTTTATTCAATCTAGATCAAAAGGATCAATTTCCAAATGTGGATAGATCTAGTCACTTTCCAGACTGTAAGTATGGAACCAATAGAGGCCTAAATTAATGTACATCCAAGGCTTACTTCTGAATATTGAGCATCATTTACTGTTTGAAAATAATCACATAAAGAAACAGGCCAGGACCATGAGAAGCAAGTCCTGAAAATACCCCGGGGAGGACTGTAATCACTGTGTCTTACCTGCCAACTCTCTGGGCTGCGCTGTCCTGCTGGATCCATTGCTCGGAATGTTCTGATAGGGGGCAGGCGAGGTGGTGCTGACCCAGGACTCTGAGGATGAGAAGCCAAAAGGCGGAGGGTTGCCATGGTCCTGCAGCTCCTTACACTGAACCAGGCCGTCTTGAGGAGTGCTTGCTTCTTCAGAACAAGGCTGCACTGAGCTAGATGAGATTCTTCTTTGGTACAAGGGCCGACCGGGTCCTCTGGGCTCATACTATGTATACACACAAAGAAGCATTTCACAGATCAGTGGACCTCACTCTGTTGCTACTTAATATTGTGTGTTCTTCTGTGACAGCCTCCCCCACCCCCTCACCAAAACAACGAAGCCTGGAATGGGGAAAAGCATTCTTGGAAATGGGGTCAAGAGACCTAGGTTTAAAATTCAGCTCTGGGCCTTACTACGGAGTCCTATGACAGCACATGGTCAACTTCTGATTCTACTTTCTTGGCTATAAACCAGTTGAATTTAGTTCTAAAATTCTATTGACATTTTAGTCAATAATATGAATATGAAAGAAGCATTATGTTCAAAGTAAATAAAGTACAGTCACAAGGCCAAATCACTGACATCTTGAATAAAGGGATCCACTCTATAGACTTTGTAGACTTTCACAACTTCCCAATGGAGTTTTCCTTAGAACTGAGGGCAAAATGAGATTCTTCATGTCCAACATAACCACTCCTGATCCAGTCCATCAATTGATACTGAATACTTACTACTTTCTTCAGAATTATCCTTTACATGTTTGAAAACTGATTACCTTAGTTATATTTTCTCCTCATTTAATTTCTAAATTTGTACAATTTAAACTCTTTAAATCTTGATTACAAGTGATATTTGCTAGCCATTTCTAAATACCCAAGTGCTGTCCATTCTGTTCTTGCCTGGCTCTTCTGACCTACTCTTGGTATCAATTTAATGGCATGGTGGTGTAGAGTAGTAGTGAGGTCCCAGGCTCCACCTAGACCCAGACTAGCGGTTCTAGCCCACACAGATGGCCCTGCACTTGTGGTACCACCTTGGGTAACTGCACTAAACTGAGAATTCCATCTATAAAATAACTCATCCCAGTACCCACTTCTCAGGATTGCTTAAGAATTAAATGAGTTATGTACCCATAGCAGCATTCAGATTAATTCAGTTCCCAGAACATAATCTTTTTACTAAAATATTCCATATTATGGGCTGGGGAGAGAGCTCAGTGGAATAAGTGCTTGCCTGGCAAGCGCAAGGTCCTGAGTTCAGCACCAGATTAAAAAAAAAAAAAAAAAAAGATTCCATGTTTGATCTTAAACAACAGAATGGGATTGGCTCTTTTTGTTCTATTTTCTTTCCCTCAATAATACTGGAGGTTGGATTACAGAGGAGAAAGAGACATGACTGGGCACACAGGAGCATGAAGTCTTTTGAAAACATAAAGGATACAGGCAGATGCTGTCAGGCCAGCTAAATGGGGGAATTGTGGGTACAAGCAATGAATGCTTAAGTCCAAAACCCAAAGGAACCCTAATAAATAAATCAGAGAAGAGAATAGGCCTTGTGTAGACAAGCAGGCAAGGGGGGGAGAAAAGCAATTTTCTCACCAACAGCTGTGAGTGGCCAGCACCTGGCAGCATTTGTCAAGTGCAGATGAAGAAGGTATGGGGTAACACTGCCACCTAGTTAGTTCCCTTTCTTGTATGCTCTTATTGCTCTTCTGTCTCTAACTATAACATCTACATTCATCTTTAATTTTATTCTTTAAAGGAAATTTTTACAATGGCCAAAATCATTTTGAATTTGGTTCTTAAGGCTGGGGAGATAGCTCAGTGAGGTAAGTGCTTGCCTGGCAAGCTAAAGATCCTGAGTTCGATCCCTGGTACTACCAAAAAAAAAAAAAAAAAAAAAAAAAAAAAGGATCAGAGCAGAAATTAATACAATGGAGACTAAGAAAACAATAGGAAGAAACAAGGAATTAAAGAGTTCTTTGAAAGATTAAACAAAACTTAAAAATCCTGAATTTGGTTCTTATTTTAAAAATATTAACCATTAAAAAAATGTTAAACATTTTGTCAACTATGAATATCATCAGCACATTTGAGATTTTATTATCTGTGTCACTGAATTAAGGTCTGAGTAAAATAGCTAGCCTTCCTAAACTGCTGTGTTTTCTCCATGCCTAGACAACCACAGAATGATTGATCGTAAGGGCTCATGCAATGTGTTTTTTTAAATTTTTTTATTGTACCAGAATCAAACTTAGGGCCTTGTGCTTGCCAGCAGACACTGTGCTGCTGAGCTATGTCCCTGGCCCTGCAGTGCCTTTCTCATCAAGGTTTGCGATGAAGAACGCTCTTAAAATCAAAATGAAATGTTTGCTTTATCACCACATGGACAGTGCAGCTCCATCACGACCTGTATGGGTCACACATCCTCAAGTCTTTCTATGTGAATACTGAAGTACAGAACTAATGTCATTCTGGTCTGAGCAAGAACAGGGTATAGCAGTTTCCTGGTGATCATTAAATACACTACTCACATGAATTCCAGTCCCTTTATACCCCATTTTTCTTTAAGCAGTATATAAACAGGCAGTGTAGACAGTAAATGGTCATATGAACCATTAGACTTACGTGAGGAAAACTAAAATTAAGAAAACAAGACACTGATATAATAGGACACAATATTCAGTTAAACTCTGGAAGTGGGTATCCTTGGTATCTTCCAAACCGACACCCCAAGCCACCCCACAGTAATACACAGCGCAGGATCCCGGCAGGTACTGCGCAACACCTCCCATAGTGTCAAAGCACCTGCTGACAGAAGTCAATGTGTAGATGAAAGAAAAAACTCCATTCAAATCACATTATGAACATGACTGGTCCCCTTTACATCTGGAAAAAGGCACCAAAACTTGAAAGTTTTAAAATGTACAAGTTAGAAAACAGCAACATAATATACAGAAGACAGGTCTACTGGCACACCTATTTCATTCAACAGAAAGGAAAGAAAACATGAAAAGGTGAACAGCTACACCAGAAGCTGTCCTTAAGGGTAAGGCCGTGTAGGCTAAGAAATTCTAATGATAAATAAAATGCTTTATATGCCAAATAAATTATATTTTATCAGTTTTATACTTTTCAGCATACAATCTTGCACAGGTTTTATAAGGTTTACACTTCAGCATTCCATTTTTCTCTCAACTATTGCAAATAATACTTTTATATTTTTGTCAGTATACTAATATGTTTTTTTTTTTTTTCTGAGACAGGGTCTCACTATGGAGCCCGGGCTGGCCTCAAGCTAACAGCAATCGTCCTGCCTCATCCTAAGTGCTGAGATCATAGGTGTGTGCCACCATGCCTGAAAATGTGACTGATTTTTGTACTGGACTTCTTTTCATGACACTGTTAAACTCACATCAGTTATAAGATTTTAGTTATTTTTTGAGATTCCTTTTCTTTACATTAATAGTTATATCAACACCTTGGGATAGTTTTATTCCTTTCCACTTTTCTTTATCAGATCTTTATTCCATTTTCCTTTATTATACTTTTTATACTTCTTTTTCATAATTTCAAGATTTGTGAAATTGGACTTTCTTCTTTACATATTTGGACCTAAAGGTTAATTTTTAAGAAGTTTCTTAATTATAAATCCAACTTTGTTAACAGCTGCATTGCCAATCACATGCAACCTGCCTCTCTGTTGCTAAGTGTTCGTAATCTGTGGCACTCTAGGAAGTGGTCCCACTCACCCACCTACGCCATGGCCTTACAGGCACTGCTTCCTTCTTACTCAAATACACAGGGATGCTCATCACAATGGCAGCCACAGTGCGAACAGGAGGATGACACTGCACTCACTGGTGCTAAATCTGCAGTTAGGAGGGAGGACCTGCTGGGAGGCGGCTCCCTCGGCATGGCCTTAAGGGTGGATCGCCCTCCCCAAGGCTGGCTGCCACAGCCCAGCTGCCACGGCCCGGCTGCCACGGTACAAGCAGCCCTCCTCTGCTAGCCCCTTCTAACACACCCTTCCCATCTTGGAGCCAGCCAGCCATCACATGAACTCAGAAACTGGGAGACAAAATAAACCTCTTTTTAAGTTGGCTATTTTGCGCCACCAGTAAGAATGTAACTAAGACATTTTCTCAAGATTAAAGAACTTCGACTGCGGAACACGCTCGAAATCAACTAATTTCTCTGTTTAGCTTCTCACTGTATTTTCTTATATTTGAAGTAATGCTCTACAGTTTGGTACAGAGATACCTAGAAAAAAGGCAACCAGATGGAAGGTGGGAAAGAATATGACTCGGAGTTTAAAAACCAGACAGACAATGTGTGAGAGGCAAGCTATAGTCTGCCACAATAGTATTTATAGGTTCATGTAACATACAATTAAAAGCCATTTGGCAGGGCCGGGGAGATAGATCAGTGGACTAAGTGCTTGCCTGGCAAGCCCAGGGTACTGAGTTCAATCCTTGGTACTGCAAATAAAGAAGGGGGGGCGGGCAGGACAAAGGTTTATCAGAAAAAATCTGTGATCATAAAGAAATCAACCAACAAGAAATGCTGGAGAGGCTGTGGGCAAAAAGAAACCCTTCTCCACTGCTGGTGGGAATGTAAACTGGTACAACCATTATGGAAATCAGTGTGGAGATTCCTTAGAAAACTTGGACTGGAAATTCCATTAAAACCAGCTATTCCTCTACTGGGAATCTACTTGGAGGAACTGAAAACAACATATCATAGTGATATACGTGTGCCTATGTTTATAGCAGCACAATTTGTGATAGCCAAATCTTGGAAACAACCAAGATGCCCATCACCTGAGGAATGGATGAAAAAGATGTGGTATTTCTATACAATGGAGCATTACTCAGCTATAAAGAATGATAAACTCAAAGCCTTTATATTGAAGTGGATGCCACTTGAAGATATACTCATAAGTGAAATAAACCAGACACACGTGTAAATATTGTATAGTCTCCCTAGTATAAGAACTCAAAAGAAGAAATACAAATAGAAAGGTATAATACAAGTAAAAGGAAAGCAAAAACTCAAGGACTAACTAATTAAGAGAGGGAACGGAGAAGAGCGAGGAAACATGACAGTGGCAAGCCATACAGTTATATGTAGAAGATGGGCAAAGCAATGATCCTGAGAATCTCCAGAAAATTTTTGAATCTAGCAGTTAACTGGAAAGATTCTTGCCCTGACTAACTATATATA